CGGAGGAGATCCCGCAGTTTGCCGTGGTTTCCTTCCCCTGTTAATTTATACTGGAAACGGTCCAGGTTTCTCCAACATTTCTGGAAAAGAAGTTCGAGTCCCAGCAGGCAGCTGGCATCCAGCGGGATACAGGTGTTCTTTCGGGAGGAACAGTTTTGGCGGGGCTGTAGGGTTCGGGTAAGGTGTGTGAGGTCTGTCCTTGTGTGGTTGCAGGTTTGTGGGCTCCTGAGGGAGTCCCTAAGGATGGCCTTGGACCGCCTTTGACAGGGTGGGCTGAGCCCCTCTAAAATACCGCAAAGACTCGAGAGGGGATCTCGTCAATCCATACAAATATCTCCAGGGGGTGTCAGGATGGTGCCAGGCTCTGTTCAGTGGTGCCCAGTGGCAGGACGAGGAGCAACAGCCATAAACTAAAACACAAGTTCCACGTCAACACAAGGCAGAACTTCCTTCCACGGAGCATTGGAACAGCTTCCCAGAAAGGGTGTGGAGTCTCCCTCTCTGGAGACATTCCAAACCCACCTGGATGGGTTCCTGTGTCACCTGCTCCAGGTGACCCTGCCTGGGCAGGGGGGCTGGACTGGGTGCTCTCCAGAGGTCCCTTCTAATCCTAATGATTCCATGAGAGGACTCACAGGACACCTGGGAGCCGCCCCTGGGATCTGTGATTCTGTGGTTCTCATGTACCCCAACAAGCCCCGTGAAGCCAAGGCACACAGAGTTCTCTCTGCTTTGTGAGGAGCATGAGATTTTGGGCCTGAACAAAATGCCTGGGCCAGAGCAAGGCTTCAGAGTTGAAAAAAACCCAAACAAATACAAACCAAAAAACCAATCCAGCAATGAAGGTGCACGGAAAGGTCACTCCACGGCTGTTCCTCTGATCACTGCTGTGCCTCAGGGTGTCACTTACCTCGTGTCCCAGCCCTTAATGTTACTGCTGATAATACTTATTAAAGCATTAAATACTTATTTAAGTATTAAATAATTGCTAATCATAATTAATAACACTTATTTAAGTATTAAAGGAGGACTGGGAGGATCTCAGCTCCTCAAAATCCTTCGGTGATTCCTACTGAGATGCTGCAGGGCCGAAACGCGAAGGGCTGCGCTTTACACAAAAAACCCCCGGGGGTAACAAACGGGGAGAAACTCCCGCGCGGGGTTTGCACTGCACCTGGCGGAGAGAGCGGGATGTTCCCCGGGAACAGCGGGAGGCTGTGCGGGGGAGGAGGTGCGGGAGAGCCCGTCCCTTCCCCGGAGAACCCCCGGA